ACAAAGCAACATTGTAAAAAACTAACTCAAAACCAAAATATTTCAAACCTAGCATAGGCATTACACACCTCCATGAACTGTAATTCCATGTGGACTAAAACAACAAGGAGTCTGGTGGCACCTTAAAGTCTAACAGATTTATTTGGGCATAAGCTTTTGTGAGGAAAAAAAAAACTCACTTCTTCGGATGCATAGAGTGGAAGTTACAGATGCAAGCATTAGATACTGACACATGGAGAGCAGGGAGTTACTTCGCAAGTTACTTCTCCACTTGCGAAGTAACTCCCTGCTCTCCATGTGTCAGTATCTAATGCTTGCATCTGTAACTTTCACTCTATGCGTCCGAAGAAGTGAGGTTTTTACTCACGAAAGCTTATGCCCAAATAAATCTGTCAGTCTTTAAGGTGCCACCAGACTCCTTGTTGTTTTTGTAGATACAGACTAACACGGCTTCAAAATTCAGTAATGTACTTGGGGACAGGGGAATAAAAAGTGGGGAGGGGGAAACTAATTCCAAAAAAAATCCTGATGCAACTCTAAAAGGATAAACACATTTGGCTCAAATTTTCAAAACTGCCCCACTATGCACACTGCCCCAGTGCTGGGAACCCTGCGTTTCCAGGGTCTGTGGCTTTGGTATAGCCCCACCATGTGAATCAGAACAAAATCAATTTTTGAGATATAGAAATTCTGAGTTTCTACCAGCTCTACTAAATATGAATATATGATTTATCTTTGCAACTTAATGGTTTATAAGTATATGGGATTTCTAGTTTTACTGGTTAAAAATCACTGATTTGAGGTTATTCATAGTTAGAGCTTTGTTTGTGTTAGTGATACTAAACTTTCGTGTTTGCCATTTTACATACCAATCTCATTTTATGAACATCTTCAACCAAACTATTTGTTTTTTTAAATAACTGTTTTGTGTTATGTAATCCAATGACTTACTGTTTCTCACAAATATTCCAAATCCAGTCTCACTTTCCAGCAGCTGAGCAGATGTCCTCAAAATGTCATATTTCAGCCATATTATTCATTCCTTGTGAATAGCAGACTTGTAGAAATAATTATAGAATATTAAATGTAAATGTGATTTAGACTGAGAATGTGCGGCAGTTTTTAAATAAATTAAATGGACCAAATTTGGGCATACTGAACACAAAGAAGTTTTAAAAGATATCTTTTTGTTTATTTGTTTCACAAACATGTATTTACATTGAACATGAATTCACAACACTGAAAGGAAAAATGTATACTATATATTAACCGATTTACATGTATGCCCTTTCCCATGTTAACACTAGGCCCCATTCTTCCCTGTATCTGTAATGACGGGATCAGTTCTCAATGTGCTGATGAAGTGGTGATTTGTACAGATTCTAAATGGCATCATTTTCTAAGTGCTATGGTTTCACTCTTCAAAGTTGTTTTGAACAATGGATTACTTCTTAAGATAAGCCTCTGTTACTAGCATCAATTTCCATAAATAATAAGCATCAAGCTGTAGCTGTATTTTCTTTACCATGCTACCAGTATTCCTTACAGTATACTAGAGCTCAGTTATCTTTGTAGTAGTTATTAAAGTTGATTCGCAGCAGGAAGTCCTCCAGGTGAGGTTGGTATCCCCTATTTACAAGTTTGGTTACCACTGTAGGAAAAGCAAATACACAAATCGTAATTTAAACCTCTAACAAGTCAATCTGTTGATTAAATGTATGAATACTATCATGGAAAAAGCCTATTGCAGAAGTCTGATGTACATAGAAACAAATAATTAAAACTGTATAAAAGAGCCCCTGCCTCTATTTCTGGAATTACAAAGTGCTCTCATTAACTGTCTGTACAACAAATCAGAATCAAGGCAAGGAACAGAAGTGTCAATCCTAGACAGTGTGCATATAAATGGAATTTTATTCTTCTAATTACAAGTACACTTTATCCAAACTATTTTTAAAAGGACAATTTTAGGTTCCCATAACATCATATTAAACAGTGGGCAGGCACTACTGAGATGCCCGACCTGTAAAAGAAACAGCTCTGCTAGTTTTCTTATGCCAAGACCACTGTGTTACAGAAGGGACCATGAGACAAACACCTGGGATGATTGCAAATCTTTACTAATGCTAACCATCATTAACAATAAAGAAGGGATCTTTCCAATGTATGGACTTAAATCAAAGAAAGAAAAATTGCCCTGGCTTCATAAACATCTCATGTACCGAGGGGGATTTGCAAGCAGTAACAGCACGCAAGGAAGAAGGAAAGGTGTAGAATATACAGGATTAGAGCCTGATCCAAAGCCCACTCAAATCAACAGGAGACTCTCCACCGGCTTCAGCAGGCTTTGAATCACACCCTTTGTGAAAGACAGAATCTTGTAGATTACAGGAACATGTGTAAGTACACATCTGTTTTGTGGTGATTAATATGGGGGAGTGGAAAGGACCAGGTCACTCTGCATATTTCCTTACAGGAGGCTCTATTAATCTCTGTCCGTGAAGCAACCATAGGTCTCATAGGATTGGCTTAAATGTCTCCCAGAAGTGTTTTGACTTCCCATAGGCTTTGGAAGCAGCCATTCTGACTCTTCCTGAAATATTTGCTTTTGTTGTTTTTTATCCTGTGACACCACTTTTAGACACTCTTAATGAATAAAAAGGGCATCTCATTTCCTGAAGGATACAATCTGATGGAAACAGTATCTAATGACTGATATTTAAAGGAAAAAGTGGCACTTCCTTTGGATATTGGGGCTGCTAACAAAGCAAAGTGAGGAGCTGCCTGTATTCACATGAAAAGGTGAATTTATTTTTGGTAGAAATACGGGAAGGGTCTGCAAGAGCAGTATTTGGGAAATGCAGAAGATTAGATAGGGTCTTTCTAACTTGCCGACCCTGCAAGCTGAGGTGACAGCTACAAAGAATTCTATTGTGAAAAAGAACATGAACTATGTGGCAAAAAATCTGCACAGTGGCAAAGTTCTTGTCTGCAGAACTAGATTTAACTACATCTTGCAGTAGGTGAGCAGCCTGTGGGCCTTAGTTGCTTAACCCCTTGCAAGAGTCAGGAAATTCAATCTCACAGTAAGATGTAGTATTTGTCTTGTCAGGAGATGTAAAATACAGTTCAAAGGACTTTTTTGTGTTGCCATTTTAGATACTTTTGTCTGTCATACGGTTTCAAGGACTACATTGCAGATAAATGGTAAATCTAAGCATATAGCAGGCTAAGAAGCAATTATTTACCATAGATTTACTCCCCGTAAACCACCAAATGTGATACTTATTGTCAGCTATGGGACACATGCCAAGAAATTCAGACTTCTGATGCTTTACATTAGTGGACGTGGAGAGATTAGCACTAAGCAAAACGAGTTCAATATACACTTTCTCCTGCTTTCAGGCTGCACTATCAGAGACAACTGCAAGAACTGATGGGTTTTTCAGGTGTCAGTTGATTGAGGCAATATAAATTAGCCCAATAACGTATCTGAGTTCCTACCTTTGAATAAGAAGTGAGAGTAATATTTGAAAGTATTGTAAGATTGTTGCATCAAACCAAAGTTGGGATGAACAGCCATTTGCTTGCCAGCATCAATGTTCCATGACTGAGAGATTAACTGGCTGCGGAACTTCAAAATGAGACTGAAGATGCTGTGAATAATGTTCATCACAGGAGTGGCCTTCTCAGTCAATAGTCCTCTAGGGTGAAAAAAAAACAGACTTAAAAAAACTAAAGAGCCATTGTTTATTTGAGTGGTTAGAAGGCAGAGAGAATCCTTTGGGTTCCCTCTTTAATCCTTTCAAAATAAAACAAAACAAGTGACTCTACAGGAGTGAATTTATGTAACTCTTGAGTCTAGTATGGTTTACCTACTTTCCAAGGTTGTTGACATTTACATATGAAGAGCTCAGTCCAGACACTTGTCCTTTATTTTTATGTTGGTGGGATTAAATTTTAAGTGTCATGCTCTAGTTCATCTTAACTTTGCCCAGGTAATTTGGCATCCGTCATCATTTCTGCCACTTCCCAATGCCTGAACTGTTTTTCTGGATGCACCTGTTCTTGTCTGTAACTAACAAGAGATGCCACTTCTAGTGGGACACACTCTTTTTGCCTCTTCTTGTATCTACTCCTTCTGTTCGCCATCTTCTCTTCCTCCCTTGTCATTTCTGACCTCTTCTTTTTCTCTCTATTCCTTCCTTACCCCACCACTCCCATATCTACTTACCTCTCAACCCCATTCTCCTTATCCTAGTCCTCTTTGCTTTGCTCTCTATCACAACATCTCAGCGCCTCTACAGTTTGGTGTTAGTAACACCTGTAGTGTATGAGGCTCAAAGTGTTAACAGCCTCTGATTCATAAAGCAAGTAGTACTACTTCCACTACTCATGAACCGTGGTGGTGGTCTTTTTTCAGAAACAACGTCTGTGTACATCAGATGACAACTGCTCTGCCAGGGAATCGTCCTGCAGCCTGAAATTAACTACTCTGCATAGGTATTAAAAATATAAACAATGTATAGAGACAGCCCTGGTGCAATCTTTGAATTTGGATTATTTGTACATACTACTTATTCAGTCAGACGACACTCTCATTTCCCTAAGTAGTAGGTATTAACTACAAATCAGGAACTTCCCTTTCATCACAGCACTAATATTCTGGGTGCTTCTGTTGTACCTATGCAAAGATTTTACAATTTATTTTTTTGTATAATTACTACTTTGTATGTTTGTTGAAATCATTTTATGTGTGTATACACACACAGACACACAGACACACACACACACAGATGGTGTATGTGTGCTATACCATATTTATAAATCCTCTGCTGGAGTAAACTGAAACAGTTCAGTTGACTTCACTGTTTTTCCTTGAAGTGTTTCCCTGCTTTGCTTACCTGAAAATAGCTTTGTTGAGGTATTCTGCATGTGTTCTGTGAATTTCTTCCAGGTTTCCTACAAAAGACAGTTTGTTTCCAAATTCACACCATGTTACATGCAATATTTGGTTAGCAATGTAACCTTGAATAACTTTAACAAAGTGCTGCATTTCATGTTTATACAGCTGGAGCTGTCGAAATTGAACAGAATTTGATGCACGACTCACTAATGCTGAAAATAAAAACAGAAAGATATTATTGTTGACACTGTAGAGCAGGGGTGGGCAAACTTTTTGGCCCTAGGGCCACATCAGATACAGAAATTGTATGGAGGGTAGGGAAGGCTGGGGGAGCGAGGTGTGGCCTGGCCCCCTATCCAGCCCCCTGGAGCCCCCATCCCCATCCAACCCCCCCCTCCACCCCTGACTGCCCCCCGGGACTCCCGCATCCTATCCAAACACCCCTGCTCTCTGCCCCCAACCATCCCCTCGGATGCCCGTCCCCTATCCAATCCCCCCTGTTCCCCACGCCCTGCCCGCCCCCCTGGGGCCCATTATCCAACCCTCCCTGCTCTCCCTGCCCCATGTTACCTGTGGGGGGAAGAGGGACTCAGTCCTTGCCCTGTGTGTTTCCCCTGTTTGTTTGACTGCTCTCCCTGGCAGTCGGGCAGGGCTCGCTCCCTGTATAGGCTTAGCTGCTGGGGACAGGGGCCAAGCATGCTGCAGG